GGTTTTGTTGACTGTTTCCTTTGCTGTGCAAAAGCTTTTTATCTTGATGAAGTCCCAATAGTTCATTTTTGCCCTTGCTTCCCTTGCCTTTGGCAATGTTTTTAGGAAGAAGTTGCTGTGGCTGAAGTTGAAGAGGTTGCTACCTGTGTTTTCCACAAGGGTTTTAATGGATTCCTGCCTCACATTGAGGTCTTTCATCCATTTTGAGTCTATTTTTGTGTGTGGTGTAAGGAAATGGTCCAGTTTCATTCTTCTGCATGTGGCTGTCCAATTTTCCCAACACCATTTGTTGAAGAGATTGTCTTTTTTCCATTGGACATTCTTTCCTGCTTCATCAAAGATTAGTTGACCATAGAGTTGAGGGTCCATTTCTGGGCTCTCTATTCTGTTCCATTGATCTATGTGTCTGTTTTTGTGCCAGTACCACACTGTCTTGATGATGACAGCTTTGTAATAGAGCCTGAAGTTCGGAATTGTGATGCCACCAGCTTTGCTTTTCTTTTTCAACATTCCTCTGGCTATTCGGGGTCTTTTCTGGTTCCATACAAATTTTAGGATTATTTGCTTCATTTCTTTGAAAAAAGTGGATGGTATTTTGATGGGGATTGCATTGAATGTGTAGATTGCTCTAGGTAGCATTGACATCTTCACAATATTTGTTCTTCCAATCCATGAGCATGGAACATTTTTCCATTTCTTTGTGTCTTCCTTGATTTCTTTCATGAGTAGTCTATAGTTTTTTGAGTACAGATTCTTTGTCTCTGGTTTCTCCAAAGAAGACATCCAAATGGCCAACAGACAGATGAAAAAGTGCCCATCATCACTTGGCATCAGGGAAATACAAATCAAAACCACAATGAGATACTACCTCACACCAGTCCCCAGAATGGCTAAAATTAACAAGTCAGGAAAGGACAGATGTTGGCGAGGATGCGGAGAAAGGGGAACCCTCTTACACTCTTGGTGGGAATGCAAGCTGGTGCAGCCACTCTGGAAAACAATATGGAGGTTCCTCAAAAAGTTGAAAATAGAGCTACCTACGACCCAGCAATTGCACTACTGGGTATTTACTCCAAAGATACAAATGTAGTGATCCGAAGAGGCATGTGCACCCCCATGTTTATAGCAGCAATGTCCACAATAGCCAAACTATGGAAAGAGCCTAGATGTCCATCGACAAATGAATGGATAAAGAAGATGTGGTATGTATTTACAATGGAACATTATGCAGCCATCAAAAAAATGAAATCATGCCATTTGCAATGACGTGGATGGAACTAGAGGGTATTATGCTAAGCAAAATAAGTCAATCAGAGAAAGATAATTATCATATGATCTCATTGATATGTGGAATTTGAGAAACAAGACAGAGGATAATAGGGGAAGAGAGGAAATAATGAAACAAGACGAAACCAGAGAGGGAGACGGACCATAAGAGATCTTAATCTCAGGAAACAAACTAAGGGTTGCTGGAGTGGAGAGGAGTGGGAGGGATGGGGTGGCTGGGTGATGGACACTGGGGAGGGTATGTGCAATGGTGAATGCTGTGAATTGTGTAAGACTCAAGAATCACAGACCTGTACCCCTGAAACAAATAATACATTATATGCTAATAAAAATTTAAAAAAATTAAAATAAATAAATAGATTTTGGCATTGGTGAAGGATGGGAAAATGGGCAATTTCAAACAGCTTTTTTTTTTAATAATTTGGCACCACATATGAAAATGTAAAGTCCTCAAAAATGCAGGAATCAGAGCTTTTGCTACAGCATTACATGCACTATTAGAATTAGAGTCAACTTAAATGTCCACCAGTTGGGTATTCATTAAATAGATTATGATATATATCCTAAAATGAAACATTCTGCAACCATTATGAAGAATAAGTTGTGCTAATGAAAAAAGGTATCCAGAATACATATTGTTAAAGTGAAAAACAACTGACATAATAGTATGTTTTTTAAAAACTCATATAAGGGGGCACCTGGGTGACTCAATGGGTTAAGCATCTCCCTTCAGCTCAGGTCATGATCCCAGGGTCCTGGGATCGAGCCCCACATCGGGCTCCCTGCTCAGCAGGAAGCCTGCTTCTCCCTCTCAAAAGTCCCCCTGCTTGTGTTCCCTCTCTCACTGTCTCTCTCTCTGTCAAATAAATAAATAAAATCTTTAAAAAATAAAATAAAGAAAATAAAAAATAAAAACTCATATGAGAAATTCAGGGGTGATATTCAAATATTTAACTACAAGACTTGCACAGGCACTAGCCCTAGAGCAGGAAACTAGACAGCCTGCTGGGGCCAGACTTAACCCTTTACTGGCTGCATTGTGGGGGTGCTGGAGGGAAGAGCCAGGGCAGACAAGGTGCTAGCTGGAAATACTTGGAAGGCTTGTGGCCAAAGCTTCTTACCGATAGCACGCTATACACGCAGAGAAAAAGAGAGAGAGACATACCAAACTTGACATGGTACAAGAGGCATTTTCACCCTTTGCTCTATACAATCTTGTTGTTTGAAATTCTAAGAATGAGTGTGGAATTTGGAAAAAGAAAAAAATTAATATAGAGAAGCCACCAGCATGGCCTATTTCCAAAGTCTATCGTTGCATAATTGTGGCACAGACTAACAGAATAAAGGCCAGAAGGAATCCAGGGCCATCTGGAGCCCCAGAAATCCCACACTTCTTACTACTCACAGCTTTAACCCTTTGCTCCAACCCCCTCACTACCACGTCTTGACATACCCTTTTCTATAAAACAAACTGTACTTCTTAAGCAATACATTATTAATTTATTTCCCACATTTTATTAATCAGAGACATTTTACTGTCAGGTAAATCTCCCTATAAACATCAAATTATCAACATTAACACAATGAATTCATATAATCACAGCCCCACATAAAAATATATGACATTCAGATTGACCTATTTGGTCCCATCATGAAACAACTCATATATTTTTGAAACATTAAAACTGTTCCTGGGGCACCTGGGTGACTCAGTCAGTTAAGCATCGGACTCTTGATTTCAGCTCAGGTCATGATCTCAGGGCCATGAGTTTGAGCCCCACCTCTGGCTTATGCTGGGCATGGAGCCTGCTTAAGATTCTCTTTCCCTTTCCCTCTCCCTCTGCCTCCCACCCCCATCCTGCTCTCAAGGGTACGCATGCACTCTCTCTCTCTCTCTCTAAAAAAAAAAAGAAAAGGAAAGAAATATTAAAGCTATTCCTATCCCTTCAAAACCTTTGGCAATGTTAGTTGGAGAACCATCTATCATGTATTATCCAGATGTAGAAATGAGATCCAATGTGTGTGACTTTCCTCCCTGAAAGGGCTGGCCCTGAAAATCCTCACCTCTGGGGACAATCAGGAGAGCTGAAAACTAGCAGGGGTTCAGCTGTGAGGAGGAACAGCAGGCCCCAAAATCTGACCATGGTATCAGATATCTAAGAATCCAGAGCAAGTAGCCAGGCATAAATAAAGCTGGGCAGGAGACATGACTTGTGAGTATTTTTAATAAGACTGTCAGAGCAGTGATTCCCAAAGGGGGAAATATCAAAATGAAATGGGATGGGGGGTTGGAGAATGTAGTTTGAAAAATCATTGTATTTTTATATTTGGAAAAAATAGAAACTATTTTTCCCGTAAAGCCAACTATCAAAAGGAAAGTGCTAGAAAATCTTGGTTGATGAATATTTGTAGAAGAAATATTGATTCTCACACTTCCTGGAAAGAGGAGGTAAATTTTTATGTGACCGTTAAAGGGGAAGTGGTTTGTAAAAATTAGAATTTGTGATTTGCTTTTATGAGCCAATTGAGGTAGGATAGGGAACAGCAGAACACCCTGGGAAAAGCAAGAGGGTATCAGAGGGGGATGTGGCCAGTCATTAGGATAAGTACGAGGGACCTATAATGGGCTGAATGTTCATGTCCCCCCAAAATTCATATGTTGAAATCCTACTCCTCAATGTGATGATATTAGGAGGTGGGGCCTTTGGGAGGTAATTAGGTCATGAGGGTGAAGCCCTCATGAGGGGGATCAGTTCCTCTATAAAAGAGACCCCAGAGATCTTCCTTGACCCTTTCCACTATATGAAGATTCAACAAGAAAAGTGCCCTCTGCCACCGGAAGAGGATCCTTACCCTAATCTTAGATTACCAGCCTCCAGAACTGTGAGAAGTAAATTCCTGTTGTTTATATGCCACCCAGTCTATGATACTTGGCGACTGCAGCCCAGATTGACCAAGACAGAACATTGTCTGCTTGATCCAGCTCTATCTTCAGCAGTTAAATCAGTGCTCGGCACACCGAAGGCACTCAGTTAATGCTCACTGACTGAATGTAATAATGAACATCAAAATCAGGACCAGAAATCAAGTCTCTTTTTCCCCAGTCAATTCTCTAACAGGTCCTAAAATTAATCTTACAGAAGTAAATTTAACAAGTAGCAAAACTGTTAGCTGCCTCTCCTAACACCCATTTTCTCTTCCTCCTTAAATTTTTCAGCCTCTCTTGCAGATACGCTCTGACCAGTGAGATGTAGGGGCAAGCCTTATAAGGGCCTTGTAGGAAGTCTCCATAAAATAAAGGAGGTACACCTTCCTCCTTCCTTCCTCCTGCTGCCAGAAATGCAGACATAATGGGCTGGAGATCAAGCAACCATATAGACCATGGGCTGTGGACACTAAGGATGGCAAATGACAAACAAAAAGATGCAAGAAACCCAGGTCCCTGATGACCGCAGTGACCATACCCACCCCCACCACCGCCGAATCACCTACCTTCAGACTTCTTTTACATGAGAGAGAAAGAAGCTTCTCTATTTTACACACCGAGGGTGGTGTGTAAACTTTGGGGGTTTTCTACTACAGACAGAGAAAGCTGATCCTTACTGATATGCGGGTAAGCCCCCACCCCCCAGGCAACGTGGGCATGAACCGAAAGCTGCCACTCCAGGAAGCGTCCAGTCCTACGACACAGCAGCAGCAACCCAGTGCTGGCTCTATTTGTTACCTGGACCCAGCGTCCCAGTGCCCGAGCCCTCTGGGCCTTGAATCAGGTCCCTGTAAGTCCTAGGACAGTGCTTACGGCAGAGGTTCTCCACCAGCGTGTTGCTTCCTCTGACCACAGTCCTTCCTTCCTTGTTCATGTAGTTCCACAGATGCAGGGCATAGGAGTCATTGAAGCCCAGGTCTCTGTCCCAGACTTCATAGTAGCGCCTCCACTCTGGATAGGAGATGGGGTAAAATCTCTGGGGGTGTAGGAAGGACAAGTTCGAACACCTGAGATCACTCACTTCCTGGAAGTCTCCAAGTTTGCACCACAGTCTCAACATCCTCGTCATCAAACTGGGACCCTGATTGCCCCAAATTTCTGAACTGTAGTGTTCAACAAAGTTTTCCATGCACTCCCACAGGAAGGGGTGGTGGGGGAGGAACCCGAACACCCCGTTACTAGAGTACCGAGAAGACTGTGCAGCCAGAAAGTTCTCCTCGGGGATGGGCCTGATGGAGATGACATCAGTATCCATGTAGATGCCGCCATACTTCCAGATGATGGCCAGGCGGGACGCATCTGAGCTGACGTGGAGCCAGTTTCTCTCCATGCTGGCGTTGATCTGAGAGAACAGGAGCAAGTCAGCCACAGTAGCAGCGGGAAAGGGCGAGGTGTCCCAAAGGGAGGCCAGCTCAGGGCGGCTGAGGAGAAGGAAGCAAGCCAGCTTCTCAAAAATCTACTGCACAAAAGCCCAATTTTGCAAATTTACCAAACTTACCTCCACCCAAAAATTTGCCTTCAAGTGAGAAGTTTATAGCAATCAGTGATAACGGGAAGGTTTTAGCAGCTTTTAAGGATTTTGTGAATTTGCTTTAAAAAAAAAAATTGAAGCAGTGGAATGGTAAAGAAGAAACCCAGCAGGGATTTCACAATAAACCCTTTGAGTCATTTTCAGCAGGGTGTACATTAACCACAAATACGAAACTGTGAAGGATTTCTTGAGTCCTAAAAATGCTAAAAACTGATAAAGAAAAGATACACTAGGAAACTGTAAATAGATCAATATGTATGCTCTTTGAGAAATTGGTAGAGGGCTCTTAAAATGCATGTATGTCTTCTTTCACTAGTTAATTCCTTTGATAATATTCATGGAAGGCCTACTTTCTATGTGCCAAGCTCTGTTATAGTTGCTAAGGAGGTAGCAGTAAACAGATAAAAATCCCTACTGGTTGGAGATAGACAATAAACAAATCAATATATAATATGTTGGGTGTTCATAAGGACTGCAAAGGAAAAAAAGCTGGATAAGGGGACTGTGAAGGGGGCAGAATGGAGCCCTAACTTATCTTGGCTTCCAATAGAAACCTGAATGAAGTTGATGAGTGAACCATGCCGATATCTCAGAGAAGAGGGTTCTAGGTAGAAGGACAGCAAGTGCAAGGGCCCTGAGCTACGAGCACACTCTCTGTGTGCAGGAACAGAAAGGAAGCAGTGTGGCCGAAGCAGAGTAGTGAAGGAGAGGGATAGGAGATGAGGACAGAGAGGGATGGGTGGAGAGGGAAGGCAGATCACATAGGCTGGGGTGAAGACTGAAATTATTTGGAAGGTTTGGAAGAAAGGAGTGATGTGATCTGACTTAGTCTTAAAAAGGTCATGCTGGCTGCTATGTGGAAAACCGACAGGGATGGCATTTGGGAGGTGGCAAGGGCAGAAGCACAGAGGCAAGTTAGGAAAGGCTGTTGAAGTGGTCAGATGTGTCCCAGGGCCCACCTTGTTCCTAAAACTCAACACTGTAAAATTGACTTCAGCTCAGAGGACCTATGCCCTATGGAACATTAGCTCGAAGAAAACATTTATGTCTTACCGAAAGAGGCGTCCATGCTCAAATAAGTTTGGAAAATGCTGGGTTGAATAAAATTAACATTTCTTTAGTTCAAAACTACAGAAACTTTCATCTCCTCATGTACATGATTAGTCTGCGGGGGAAAAAAGGGGGGGTGGCGTATAGTACGCAGCATCTTCCAAGACAATCGGAGCAGAGATTTATTTGTCCAAGGAGCAAAGCACAGTTAAGCTAATGTTCACTAGCCCAGGTGTGGGGAAAGTAGGCCAACACACTGCTTGTTTAGTCCTCCTGGAACACCCTCTAGCAGGCTAGCCCTGAGAGTGACAGGGACCTCTCCAGCGTGTTCCCTCCAGGGGGCCCCCTCCACTACCAGGGCCTGCATCCCTGGCCCGTGGCCTGCCCTACTGCCTCCCAGGGGCTCGTGCTGGTCGCTGCCTATTTGTTGGGGACCCTGTGCAGGCAGCTGCAGGTGAAATCTCAGTATGGTGAGCTGATCCATTACCTCCTGATGAGCCTCAATTTGAGAGCTCCAGGCTCTTCAGGAGAAGAGGTGGGCACACTAGGATCTAGAAGTCCCATGGGGCCAAAGGTACAACTAGCCACTGCCCCCTCAGGCCTGTCACTTAGTCCAGAAATGCCTCTAGCTGGCAGAACCTAGGTGCTAGTGTGTCCTCCCCGCAGGACCGTAGACGGAGTAATGGCCACTCAAAGACCTCAGGCCCAAGAGCCTGGAACATATAAATGTCACCACACGTGGAAAAGGGGTCTTTGCAGATGTGATTACATTAAGGATCTTGAGATGGGGAGATTATTCCAGGTTGTCCTGATGAGCCCTAAATGCTATCACAAGTATCGTTTAAAGACAGATGTAGAGGGAAATTTCACACACACACACACACACACGCACACACACACAGAGGAAAAGGGGATGTGCAGATCTTCACAGGAAAGATTTTTCCCTAGTGTCTCCCTGGGAACTGGGCCCCTGTCAGCACCGTGACATCCACCCAGGGAAATGGATTCGGGCCTTGTGGCCTCCATAACCATAAGAGAACCAATGTTTAGGTCACCCGGTGTGAGGTCCTCTGTTGCAGGAGCCACAGGGAACTAACACAAGAAGGTGCATGGTGGGCTCACTATTGTCTCTTGGCCTGCAAAGCCTAAAGGATTTACAATCTGGCTCTTTACAGAGAAAATGCTTGCTGCCTTTTGGTCTAGCCTACGCTTAGAACTTAGAAAGGATTTTACATGGCCAGCAAATGGTATTATTTGGATGTTGATTTTTAAATTATTTTGGAGTTTTTAAAATAATTTTATTTATAAAATGAACATATTCTCATCACTAAATGCACTCCTAATCCAATCACACAAAAACACCTACTATTACCGTGTGTTGTGTTATTTTCTTCAGGTTGTTTTCTTCCACGTAGATTGGGGGGGGGCACATAGCTAAAACAATTACAGTTAACATTATAATGTAAGTGTATTTATTCCATATCGCATTGTAGTCTTCATAAGATGTCACAGCTAACGCCTTCATAGTGAAGTTATTGAGTGGTTCTACTGTAATTTCCTTAAGAATTATCCAATTGTGGGTCCTCTGTGAGAGAAATATTTAATTGAAATATTATTTCCTATTATGCTATGTTACTAAGATGAAGATTACAAAATTCTCAAGAGCTCCAGGAGTTTCTTGGTCATATCTTAATATAATCCGATCTCATATAGCAGCACTCTCTGCCTGATCCTTCACGAATTTTCTATTCATATCATTTTCAAATTAAATATTGCCTAGGTTCCCACTCAGATGCAAAAAAAATTAACATAGGTGGGTTTAAATAAATGAAAAATAAGTGGTCATACCCCCAGAAAGGATCTAGAAACTCATTCAGTTAAGAATAGTCTCAAAAGAAACCTTATTCCTAAGAAATAAAGCTGGAGGCATAAGACACGAGGCTCGAGATGAACCTAACTTAAGTCTCTCCTGTTTATTTGAATCAGGACTCAACGCTGTAGAAAGAAGACCAGGATCTGGGTTCTAGTCCCATCTCTGACACTGAGTCCTTGCGTTCAGTTTACCTATCCACAAAATGAGCAGATGGGACCCCTTTTCTGCAGTCCCTCCCAACGCTGACCTCCTAAGATTCTCTGAATACTTACGCGAGTGAACCATGAAAGCAACGGTGTGTCTTCAAACAGCCTTTTCATATCCAAAGGGAAGAAGAAAACATTGTCTATTGCTGAGAGGAGGGAAAAGCCTGGGTAAGTGCTGTTTGAGGGCAGCCGTGTGGTATCATAGAGACCCTTCATGAAGAATGCCACGGGTTGCCCAGGGTAAATCTTGGCAGCAGACTCCACAGCACAAGAGACCAGCGGAGTTGGCTCCATTCTCTCCGAGGTCTCTATGAACACAATGCCGCGCCCATGGCCCAGGAGGGTTTCCAGGTCCTGCTGGGACTTTTGGGGAGGAAGGCAGGAGAAGAGACAGCGGGACTTCACATTCAGCTGGTAGAAGAAGACACAGACAAGCAACAGGACGACCAACAGGGAATGCTGGAGCTCCTTCAGCATGTCTACGTCTATCTCCTGGCCCGCTCCTTTAAAGCAACACAACTCATTACAAAAATACACTCACAACACCTGATAAAGATGGCACACAAGAAAATGAGCCATGAATATCACCCTGAGGATATCCTCAAAAAAAAAAAAATAGGATCAAATCAAGTACAGTAATAGTAAAAAGAAAAATGCATTCACTAGGGTTTATCTGAGGAATCTGAGGATGATTCAAAACAGGAAAATAATCATTCATCCTTTTGAGTGGCCCAGAAAGCAACAGGCATGGAGAACATCACTACATGAGCTATGGTAGAAAGTTTTCTGAAGTTTACCCCAGGTTGTCTAGCTTCAGTTTGCAGGGCTTCAGGGAAACAGACATTTTTGGTTCTCAGGGTTTCCAAGTCAAGAGAATGGGAGAAACTTAAAAACCTTCTTTGGAGAGTCATAGCCAGGTATTTGAGGAAACTAGAAGGACTCAGGATCTGGCCCAATTTTATAGGCACACAACAAACATTTGAAGTCAATTAATCAGAACTAGAATCTAACATCTACAGTGGGTGTGTTGTTGCAATTTATTTTTTCTCCCTAAAAGCACCCTCATTTCTGTCAAAGATAGCCAAATTAAAACTAATTCATTTGGGAAAAAAAAAAGTCCATTTTTAACTAGTTTGGCCTAATTAATTTACAGCAAGAATAATGATTGACCATATGGGTTTTTTAAAAAAATCTGCTTTTGCTGGAACTTTTTACTAGGAATTTCACATTGAACTTTTAATAGCCTCTCAAGGCCAGAAGCCAAGCCAAATACATGCCATCAGACTCACCTACAATACCTGGAGATTTGGGGGAATTCCTCTCTTCCTGTGGTCCCCAAAATATCCTGAGGTTCCTGTACCTGCCAGGAAGTGCATTCTTTACTCACATGGTAAGGCTCCTGGGAACTCTATAAGCAAAGTATCAGGCCAGTATTTCCAAGGGGCTTTATTGACTCCATAAAGCCACCTTCACTCCTTAAAGCTCTCCAGTCATATCTGAGTCTACGCATGTGTTTCTCAAATATGACATTCCAGTTAAAGCCTTGGTATTACAGCCAATGTTTTCAATGGTGTCCTGTTACAAGGAGAACAGATTCTCATTGGATTTATGTAAATGACTATAATTGCCACGAGAGAAAGAATACTCAGGGTTTCTGAATTCTGGAGGGTTCAGATAGGGAGAAAAGATAATTGTTTTTATTTGCTTACAAAGAAATATTTTATCAAATTCCTATTAACTCATAGATACCTTAAGAGAAAAGGTTTCCTTAAATCTGAAAGAGCAAACATTAGAGAACGAGCAATGTTTAAACAAGACTCATAAAACCTATAATCATCTTTTTCAATTCACTTAGTCTCATGTTATTCATTCTTGTTCTGTTTGAATGCAGTTTTTCCATTAGTTCTAGAGATTCTTACCCAGTTTAGTTTTATGATCTTAAAGATATCAGAGACCTGTGTTTATCAAAAGTCCTTTTCATGAGTCTCCTTGAGGCCGAAACACATTTGCAAGAGCATCAGGACAATAACTGTCAATGACAAAAAAACTCAAAAATGGCCGTGGTTGAAAGTCTGATGGGAGTGTATCAGAATGCAGCTGACAAGGAAATTTGGTTATTTTTGTGACACACAACATTTCCATAAGTAGAATTGCAAGTGATGACATTATACCAGGACATATTAAAGCTTTAGGAATTTTTTATATAATTTTTGCAACAGTTATAGCATTTACCCATACAATGTAACTTAAGAAGGTTTATCATCATTTGTTTGACAATGCTTCCCATGTAACTTAACATACCAAATAAACAACTCTAATTAGTCAAAAAGACTCCATTTAGAATTTGAATTTGGGAGAAGTTTGTTAAAAACCTCAGAGATTTCTAAAGCACATGCCTAAATAAGATTACAGATCATTACAAAACCTAAAACATAATTAATCCAAAAAAAGAAAACCTTAATTAATCTGTTTAACAAAGGTGGCCTTAAGAGATTCTAAAAGCAAATACAGCATACATAGTTGTTAACAAAATTTAGCTCTTTTAATATTGAGAAGTTTTAATTTTCTTAAGTAATCAAAAAAAAAAAACTGATGAAGACAAAACATCTTTGTTTTTTCTGGGCAGAAAAAGAAAAAAAAACTTTGCTCATAATTTCTTATCAAGAGCAGACCAACAATCCAAGAAAACTTAGTCTTTTTTTTTTTTTTAAGATTTTATTTATTTATATGAGACAGAGAGAATGAGAGAGAGAGAGCACATGAGAGGGGGGAGGGTCAGAGGGAGAAGCAGGCTCCCCGCCGAGCAGGGAGCCCGATGCAGGACTCGATCCAGGGACTCGATCCAGGGACTCGATCCAGGGACTCCAGGATCATGACCTGAGCCGAAGGCAGTTGCTTAACCAACTGAGCCACCCAGGCACCCGAAAACTTAGTCTTTTTAACTGAGAGAAAAACCAAATTCCAATCTTACACTAGTGCACTTTTAAAATTCATTCATTCCAATCTTAGTCTTGACCATGTATAAAATTACTTTCCAAAGATTCTCCTTCACGAACCTTTTATTTTTTTAATTTAATTTAATTTTATTATGTTATGTTAGTCACCATACAGTACATCATTAGTTTTTGATGTAGTGTTCCATGATTCATTGTTTGCGTATAACACCCAGTGCTGCATTCAATACGTGCCCTCCTTAATACACATCCCCCCATCCCCCTCCCCTCTAAAACCCTCAGTTTGTTTCTCGGAGTCCATAGTCTCTCATGGTTCGTCTCTCCCTCCGATTCCCCCCCTTCATTTTTCCCTTCCTTCTCCTAATGTCCTCCATGCTATTCCTTATGTTCCACAAATAAGTGAAACCATATGATAATTGACTTTCTCTGTTGGCTTAGTTCACTTAGCATAATCTCCTCCAGTCCATCCATGTTGATGTAAAAGTTGGGTATTCATCCTCTCTGATAGCTGAGTAGTATTCCATTGTATATAGGGACCACATCTTTTTTACCCATTCTTCACGAACCGTTTATAACTTTCTTTTTCCATTTAGACTTTGTCCTAACGTTTTCCTCTCTAAACAACCAGTCTCATTTCAGGACTAAATTATTTTTTTTCCTCAACAAAAATGTGTCCTCATTCTTTATACAAGATGTATCTCTCACTTTCCTAGCTACAGAGTTGCTTTCCATATTATTTCCAACAGTCTCAATCACATTTATCAGAATTTTAATTCTTAAAAACCTCAGTCTCTAGTGAAAACTAAGTAGTAACCAATTAGGAGCTGTCTGTTACATCAGAATTTTTTAAATTGGCCAATTTATGGATATATTTCATAATTTCTAAAAATGTGTTTTTTCATAGTACAATTTTCAATAAGGCATAATACATGTTTATAAATAGACCCAAATTTATCTTTAGTTTCTCTGTAATAAGAGGCAAAAGCAAATAAACCTATGTTTAGTAACTACTATTTCAGTATTTTACCTTATTTAAAAACTATTCATTCAATTTATTTGCTTTTAACAATTACGCATGAATACTTCATGAGACAGACAAAATCAACCATTATTTTAAATCATCTTTGCTGACAAATTGCAACAGAGATAACAAGCTTATTTGACCTTTAGTGAACCTTGGTAAAATAAAAGTTTTAAATTTAATGTTGACAACTCTAAAGACATGTCTATTTTTTTATTTTATTTTTATTTTTTTTGGAAGGGTAGGAGCCTTATTTTATTTTATTTATTTATTTATTTAGCATATAATGTATTATTGGTTTCAGAGGAAGAGGCCAGTGATTCATCAGTCTTATATAATAACCAGTGCTCATTACATCATGTGCCCTCCTTAATGTCTATCACCCAGTTACCCCATCGCCCCCACCTCTCTCCCTTCCAGCAACCCTGTCTATTTTAATTAAACCAACAAACTTGAATTTTAATTTATCAAAGATTATCCCAGATCACATGAACTTGAAAAACATCTGGATTAGTTCTTACCTTTCTGAGTTTTAGAATGCCCAATTTTTACAAGTGTTTGCCTGTAAGCCAAATAAAAAGAGCTCTTTCACAAGTTAATTTTTAGCAGTGCCATCCGGAGGTAGAGAAAATATCTCACATTTATAACACATATGGACACATATACACAAACAAGATGCCACCAAAATTAAGCCTTTGTTTCACTAATATTTGTGGAGAGGACATTATAGACCTAATTCCCAAATATCTCTTTTACAAAACAAATCTAATCATAAGGTACCATTATAATCTATGGATCCATTAATGAGTCATTTTCCATTTTCCAATTAGAACATGGCCAGTTTTGTCCAAAGATACCAAAAGCTACAGCAACAAGTAAGCCAAATGAAGCCCAGAGTGCCTCTGTGGTTATTGGTGCCCCCCGCCAAAGTTGGGGGCTTCGCTGATTGAACCGGCAGACCGTGCACCTGGGCAGTTCGCTTCAGTCGAAATCATGGGCAGAGACATGGGAAAGTTTCCTCACTAGACAACCCTATAAATTGATTCTAACTTTGCAAACACAAGGTTCGATGAAAAGAAAAGCAAAGCATCACCACAAAGAAGCAATGGACAAACCCCAGTAGTCCAAGAGCCTGGTGATCTGGAAAGGGAATTGATTCCCTGATTTCAGTGACCTGGGTTTAGGAAGGGCGCTTTTGCTCTGAGGTCCCCCTTGTGGTGTGCGAACTGCCTGTCAGTCTCAGGAGGGCAGCTTCGTCAGCCTCCACTGACAAGGCAGTCCCCACACCTCCCAAGTCAGTGTCGCTCCCCAGCACCCCAGACGGGAGCACTTAGTAACCGCCTTTGGAGCCATCCTTTGCTCAGGGAGTCACCTGCCTTCAGTCCAGAGCCTCCTCCCAGCCACGATCAGGTATCCACCGTTGCCCCTGGATGCTCTGGTGTGAACAGGGAGGTCCCCTCCCGAGCAGACTTCGGATCCTGACATAGCAGGTCCTACATCAA